CTTCAAGATCAGCTTCTTCCTCACTGAGGGTCACAGGCGTCACTTTGGGCTGGAGCGGGTCAAATCACCCGTCTTTTCCTCTTTCAAGGTCCCCCTGATCAAAGCTCAAAGTTGGATAAGATGGGAAAAGAAATGCGGAAGTGGCCTTTGGGAAGAAGGCCAGCTTGTGGACTAGCTTGCCTCTCTTGGGGGGTGACTCAAAGTCAGAAGCAGGCGCTCGGTGGCAGGGGGCGTTCCATTCCTCAGTGGCAGCGGATGTGAACTTCCCAGAGGGGGAGAGGCGTAAATCCCCAGTATCCTTCCCCGGAGCTTCCTTCAGCCTCCACTCTTCAAGTTTAGAATAGGGGGAGGGGGCCGGATTAGGCCCTCAGGCTGCGCAGCCACCAGAGACATGAACTTGAGGGGCGGCCTGTCACTGTCGCTGATAAGAAGGTCCGCAGAGAGACTGGGCTCCCCCGGCCGCGTGTGGACGCTTCAGTCCTGCCTGCAGGGCCCAGGCGCAGAACCTGGCTCTGCTCTTTGACCAGAGGTCAGTTCCGAGACGGCCACCGCCCCACTATCCACCTAGAAGGCAGCCCTGGAGAACCCTGACCCCGCCCGCCCCGGGAAGTGAGGGGGGCAGAACCCGCAGGCTGAATCACCGCCACAGGCCCTTTGGCTGGGAAAGGCCAGGAGGCCGGATTCAGGGCTTCAGAGGCCCCAGGGCCCCGGCCTTCCCCGCCGGCCGCCGCCGCCGCCAGGGCATTTATGGTAATGTTTGGGTTGGGGCGCACAGCCGGATGCCCCGCCTCCCTGGCGCCAGGCTGGACCTCGGGGCGCAGGCGAGGGGGCTTAGTGCTGCGGGGTCTGCGGGCGAAGCCAGGCTGAGACCAGGGTTCTGGAGGGCTGGGGGCCGGCAGGTGGGCTGCCCCGCGTGGAGAGGCCCCTGGGGCTGAAGGGGACCCAAGGAGATAGTTCCAAATCCGAGGGTCAATGGAGATTAGGAGAAGGATGCGACACCCCCCTCAATTCGCCTCACTAACTGCTGACCCCTCTTTGACGTAAGGGTCCTCAGTCCCCAGGGTGCGCCCCATGTATCCACATCCTTTCTTCCCCCACCCCTGCCTGACAGGGAGGGGGCCGAGAGGAGAGGCCAGCGGCTCCCAGGGGAGTCTCTGGAATGCTGGGAGCCTGGGAACAGACCCTACAGTCCCTGGGAAAGCCAGGCTGTGAGAATCCCACCCTCGGACCCCTCCCCACATGCGCTTTTGGATGGCTGCCAGAGACCCCAGCTCCCCTAGCAGGGGGCTTTGTGAGGGCGGGAGAGCCCCCAGTCCAAGACCCAGCCAGACTGGACCCCGGAGTTCACTAGGCCAGCTGTGACGAAGACACCCCTCCCCCGCCCGCCGCTCCATGCAGCATAATAACATAATCGTGAGCATTGTGCAGCCCTCCCCCTCCCCACTCCCCTCCTCTGGACCCCTGCACAATGAGGCCTTTGCCACTCCAGCACTCAGGGTGGAGATGAACTCATGGTTTTTCCAAGTTTAAAAATAGCCCCTCCCATCTTCCCAGAAAGCCATCCGCTTCCCCTTCGACGTGCTCCTGTGGGTTCTGGGGTCTGCAAGCCCTCCGCCTCCCTCCTGCCCTGGTCAGGTGCAAAGGACATGGGTGAGACCGCATCCGGCAGGGAAGGGGGCTGCTTCCCCCCATTCAATCTCTTCCCCCATATCTTCCACCCACCCCCCAGTATCCGGTTTCCTGGCCGGTGATGGCAACCACAGCAACTGCCCCCCACCTTCTTCCCACCCTGTTTTCCCTCCCTCAGCACAATCTCCACCCATCTCAGACCCTCATTCTGGAAATGCTCCAGCCTCCCCTCCAAAGATCCAGGTTGCATTCAATTTTCTGCCCTGGCTAGGGGGTTCCCCAGCGTCTGCATTTGCCAAGATTGGGTCTCCCACCACCCCTTTTGTCTTCTCATTGCAGCTGCAAACGTATCTTTATCAGCTTCCTTCCTCCGCCTCCTCCGCCTCCCTCCGCCCTGCTCACATCCTCCTGGTCACTGACCCTTGGCCAAAAGGGTGGGTGGGAATTCATTGTGCCCCTTGAGTCAATGGCAGAAGTGTCCTGATTCACATCTCCTTACAATGAGGCAGTAGGGGTTGGGGGGTGGAGCAGGCCCATCCTTGTCTCTCCACCTCCAAACTCCACTGAGACTGGGAACCCCCACTCCTCTCCACACCTCCTGGCAATGAATAGAGAAGTCCACCGGGAGGGGACCACTATTGACGGACCCAGACCCTATGCATCACTCCATCCAGGCACAGTTTTTCCATCTCTGCTTAGACCTAGTCAAAAAAGACACAGGGCATTCGCTGCCACATAACCCTCATCTCTGAGGAGCCTGGGGCTTTTCATGGAGTCAGGAAGAGCAGTGTGCCTATCCTTGCTGGCCTTGGCCTGTCTCTGGGCAAGGCTGCCTGCACCCCGGTCCCTGGTCCCTGTGCAAGAGCCCCTCCTGTTTCGAGACCATGATCACTTCTGCTGTATCTGGAACCTCTCAGCTACAGATCCTTTCTCTGCCACCTCCTCAGAAAAGCTGGACAGTTCATGCCCTCCAGCTTTCTTCCTCCTATTCTGGATGTTGTCCTTCACTCCCCGTTCTTCCTCTGTTTTCATTTTCCTCTGAATTCTCTCCAAGGTCCTGGCCTCTCTTCGGTTCGGAAGTCCAAAGTGCCCCCCTTATTCAACCACCCCAAAGCGGTCTGTCCCCTGACTGCCACCACCCACTCTCTCCCAATCAGACAGCCCCAGGCTACTGACTGTCTTGAAGAAGGTTCTTTGTGCTTTTCTATTGGGGCCACAGGAGCTGCCACCCTGAGCTCTAACCTCATTTCCCCAGCACTGCAGAGGCAGCTCCTCCACCCCCATCAGCCTCACTCTACTGAGGACGGAAGAAGAATTCAGAGCTGACTGTCCTTGGTGTGGTTGGCTGGCTTTACTCTCAGGCAAGAGAGGGAGAATGATTAGTTAATGGTGTTAAGTGAAGGGGAGGGGGTGGGGCAGGGAAGCAGAGCTCTAGGCTTGGCATGGGGCTTGCCAGGGCAAACAGCATCTTTCATCCATTCCTACTCCTGCCCCTGTGGACAAATGAGAGCATCTCCATCCTGCTCTGGGCCCTGGGCTAGTGCATACATCATCCCCTGGGGCGGGGCCCCTGGCTTCCTCTCACCCCAGCCTCCAGCACCGGGACTTGGCCTGGTGCAGCCTCTCCATGGTGAAAAATAATGGAGAGGGCAGAGGGGGTCAGCAAAGCTCAGAAAGTCAAAGCTGATGTGGTTTGCGAATCATTTCTGCGTCATCAAACGCTACCCTACAGCCATTCTCTCAAGTCACCTGCCCATCTCTGGTGTTTGCTGCCTCATGATGCTCCTCCCCCAGTTAGCAAGAAGGCTGTGCCAGGCACAGGCCTCCAGCCCAAATCCAGACCCATTGTCCTATTAGATCTTCCTTGGTGCAGGGGCCTCAGCTGGTGTGGACCCCTTTCCAGAGTCAAGTGATGGAGACATCCTCCTCCCTGAAGCTCTGGGGGAAAGCTAGGGTTTAGGGGGAAGGGTGACCAAAGGCCTCCCAGTACCTGCAAGGCTGAAACCAGATCCTTTCCTCTGAGTCCTCCTCACCCCAGCGGCTGAGCCACAATCGATATGATATGATACAGTGCGAGAGTGAGGGAGAGGGGCCAGGGAGCTGTGCTGCAGGAAGCATCCCAACCCTGGGAAGGGAAGCTGCAAACAAGTTTCCAACAGTTTCAGTGGTCAAACTCCAAGCTTGGGTCCTTAGAGCCATTAACTCTTTCTTTGCCCTGCTCTCCTCACTTGGGTGAGAAGAAAATTAGTTCAAGGCTATGTTCAATGAGTGAAGAGACAAGGGTTCATTCTCAAGACTTGGGTGTGGAGTGGTCTCTGGGTGGCGTAAACATTTGTGATCAACTAATAACCTTGAGCTCTGGTGGTGTCTGCATGTAACCTTACGGCTGTTTCACTCCTCTGGCGGTTCAAGTCTTCCAGCTTCTCCTCCTGTGCAATTTACAGCCTAGAAAACCCGCTGGAGGGTCAGCTATGAGTTAGTTAAAACTGAAGAGCTGTGAGTCGAGCCATCTTAAAAGTTGGCAGTTGGAATCTCCCAAGTAGCAATGCCACAGAAAAAAGGCCTGGTGACCTGCTTCCCTAAAGATCGCGGACAAAAACTCCCTAGGGAGCAGTTAAACTTGTTATGTAACCCAGGGATTGCCTCAAAATGGACTAGATTCAAGGGCAGTGGCTTTAGTATTTCGGTGTGTGAAGGGCTCGTCAAATGTGACAACCTGGGACCTGTGCACAGTTCACAAAGATGGAGCTGCAGGACCTGGGCGGTGAAGGGCCAGTCAGTCTCTAGGGCGCCAATTCTTTCCTCTCCTCAAATCAGGTACCTCTGGGTCTGGGGGCCTGAAGTAGCGCTCCTCTCCTGAGCTGCTAGAACTGCGTGGCTCCAGAGCAATGCCAGGCTGGGGTCCTCCCGTTCGTGCCACCATCTGGGGCCCATCCTGACTCATAAGTGGTAGGGGTACGATGGAGTGGAGGAGGCGACGGACAAAGACACCTGGATGGGAGGTCCCCCATTTCAAGGAGGACAGAGAGGCTGCTCCTTCATCAGGAGGCCCCCAGGGCTACACCAGCAAGTCTTCAGGAGTAAGCGCTAATTTCTGACCAGGGGTGACTCTGGCCCAGGTTCTGTTCCCCGAGCAGTTGGGTTCCAAACACCTGTCCTACCCTAGCCCCTGGTTGGGGGAGGTCCCACAGTCAGGCTCCATCTGTCTGCTGCTCCCCGCAGCTCGAAGGCTCCGGGCGCCGGGGACCCGCCCCCTAGGGCTGCAACAAGCAGGGCGGGGGCAGGGGGCGCGCGGCGCACGGGGCAGGGCGCCGCCCCCCTCCCCCGCCCCCCTGACGTCAGCCCCCGGCCTCAGCAGCCTCCCGCACTTGGTTCTTGCTACGCGGCCGAGAAACATGGGGCTACCCAGGCTCTTCTGCGCCTTCTTGCTTGCATTCTGCTGCTGCAGTCGCCGCGCCGCGGGTGAGTCAGCCAGGGGCTCGCCCCCTCTGAGCCCAGGCCCTTCAACGGAGCGTACCGGGGAGCGGAGCTTGCCAAGCCGTGGGGGCCGGAGCCGGGCGCCCCGCACGCGCCGCATCTCCAGGTCCGCGGCATCCAGCCTTGCGCCTTTGCGCGTGCAACTCTTCTTTGTGGGCAGTTTGCAGCCTCTGTTCTCGAGTATCCCGGGCGCAGGGTCTGAGAAACAGCAGGAGCGGGAAGGGGTGGAGCCGGGCTTTATGGGACGCTGGGGAGAGCTTTTCCTTCAGGTGATTCTTCTGGGGGGTCCACAGCTGAACCTCGGCAGGGGCGCAGCTGTAGCTCACCCCCAAATCGTGGATTCTGCGCCCGCCTGTTGCTGGAACAGGCAGCTCTCTTAGCTAGAGGGGTGCGCCCCTCCCTGGCCCTCTCGCCTGGGCACCGTGCCAGGCTGGAGGTGAGCAGCAGCGAGCGTCACCTCCGGAGCAGGGCGTTGGCAGGGGCTGGGTCGGAGGCGGGTGGACGGTGTGGGTCGCCGCGCGCCTCTATGCAGAACCGAATCGCAGGTGGAAGAGACAAGGAGTGGAGCATTCCCAGAGTGGGAGCGTCCCCAAGTTGTCTTGTTACACCTCCCGCTGAGAACCTTCCAGTGGGAAGAACGCCCCGGCACCTCCAAGTTTTCTCTGGAACCGATTAGTAGCTGGGCGCCCCGGGTCCGCGCTGCCCTTGAATGGCCCCCGGCGCTGTCGCGTGTTTCTCTTGGCGCCCTTTCCCTGGTCCCAGCCGCTCTCCGGATGGGGAAGGAGAGGGCTGGGCAGTACCCAGCTCTCTGGCTTCTTGCCCGGCACCGGCGCCGTCCCCGGGGCAGCCCCGGCTGCTGCCGCCCCAGCTGGTTTGCTTTCTGGGGAAAGGGCTAAATCGGATTCCACCGCTCCTTTCTTTCCAGACCTACGGGTCCTGCTCCTCTGTCTCTGAGGAGACAGTCAGGGGAGCTGCTTTGGGTTGACGACCATTTCTTATGCCCTCCTTTTCTGGGCTCTAGGGCAGCAACCCCGGAGCCCGAGTCCAGCCTGATGGAAAGGAGTGACATCAGCGCCTCCCAGGCTGACAGCATGCTGGCACCACTGATGTCACTCCTGCCCACTGACTGGACCTTGCCTTGACCCTTGGGCAGATGCTGACCCCTTCTGCCTCCCCAGCCCTTCAGGATGGGTCCCACCAGCTTGTGTGTGGATGCTCAGTGAGGGGAGAGCTTGTGGCCAGCATTATGCACGGGACTTGAGGGAGACTTGGGGAGGAGATTCTGGAGGGCAGAGGGCACAAAAGTGACGTCTTTCCCTAGGGGAGGGGACACAAAGGGGCTTGTGTGCCCCAGCCTGGCACATGCTTTGCATTCCCCCAGTCTGAGCTCATTAGGAGAGGAGGGGGCCTGGAAGGAAAGGGGCCTTCCTCTTGGCTCAGAGTCTGGATTGCCCCTTTGGCAGCCTCACTTGGGAAGGTGCCTGGTGCTTAGGGTTTCTGCAGCAAGGATCTGGGATGATATTCTCCAGCTTCCCTAGGCTGGGAGAGGGTGAGCTGAGGTTTAGGGGGGCAGGGAGTGGCTGAGGGTGAGGAGAGGACAAGGCCCTCTTCAGACCCTCCCAGAGGCAAGAACAGCTGCATGGAGCAAGGGGGATGGATGGCAGCTGGAGCTGACATAATTGCTGTGGGGCCTTCCTCCTCCTCCTCACCCCCAGGTGTTCCAGGAGAGGCGGAGCAGCCTGCCCCAGAGCTGCTAGAGGTGGAGGTGGGCAGCACCGCCCTCCTGAAGTGTCCAGTTCATTCTCAGGGCAACCTCAGCCTTGACTGGTTCTCTGTGAGTGCTGGGGCTCCCGGGGAAGGGGCAATGGGACCTCCTTTATCCTCAGGACCCTCACCTCCTTTTGCCCCTACCCTTAGGTTCACAAGGAGAAGCAAGCACTCATTTACCGCGTGCGCCAGGGCCAGGGCCAGAGCGAACCCGGGGAATACCAGGACCGGCTCAGCCTTCATGGCAGGGGTGCCACCCTGGCCCTGGCACATGTCACCCCACACGACGAACGCAGCGTTTTCCTGTGCAGGAGCAAACGTTCGCGTTCCCAGGAGCACCGCATCCAGCTCCAGGTCTACAGTGAGTGCCCCACCCTGTCCTTGGAGCCCTGTGGTTCCTAGGAAGCAGTACCCCATGCCTCTCCTCCCTTTGTCTCCCCTGTAGAAGCTCCGGAGGAGCCAAGCATCCAGGTCAATACAGTGGGCATCTCCGTGAACAGTGAGGAGCCTGAGGAGGTGAGAGGCCAGTGTGGCCAGGTGGGGAGCTGGAGGCAGGATGCAGCTTCAGAAGCAGAGGCACTTACAGCCTGTCCTCTTGCAGATTGCTACCTGTGTGGGGCGGAATGGGTACCCAATCCCACAAGTCACCTGGTACAAGAACCGGCAGCCCCTCAAGGAGGAGAAGAATCGTGAGTGCCTCCTCGCCACTTTGCACTTTACTTTCACTTCTTTTTCTTTTTCATTACACACGCCACACAGGAAAATATTTTTGGAAGAATTCACTGTACAAAAATGACAAAAGGAAAAAACCAATAATCTAGAATGAAAGTTCCTTCATTTCCCACAAGCCTTCCTAGAACCAATCTCTGCTATCATTTAGTGTCTGTTGCTTCAAGCCCTTCTCTGTATGTTTGTTCACATGCCCATCCTTCTTCCATGGAGCAGGTGGAGGATTGGAACCACATGCCTTTGGAATTGCAGCACACTTTCTTACCACTAGGCCCCCAGAGCGCCAAATATAGCTAGGAATATATAAATAGGATTTAAAAAAAAATCATCTAAATCAGCAATTCTCAGATGGAATGATTCGGCCCCCAGGGGACATTAGGCAATATCTGGAGACATTTTTGGCTGTCCAGAGATTGCTCCTGGCATTTAGTGGGTAGAAGGCAGGATGTTACTGAGTATTTGACAATGCACAAAACAGCTACCACCACAAAGAATTATCGGGCCAGGACATCGATAGTGCTGACCTAGGTTGAGAAACATTGATATGCCTGGTGTCCTGTATGTTGTTACATAGCTTGTGCACTTTTATTTTTCCCTATCAACATTGAGTTTTGGGAATACTTATGGGCCAGTCTCTGTATCTGCCTAATTCTTTTGCTTACAATGAATATAATGGACTTTAATTAACCATGTTACTATTGCTGTTATGTGCCATCAAGTTGGAACCAACCCATGGCTGACCCTCCAGGGGGTTTTCAAGAGGCAGTAAAGCACATGGGAGTTGATTGCCCATTTTTCTCCTGTGGAGCTGGTGGATTTGAACTGTGTGCATGTCCCTATCAGTAAAAGTATAGTGTTTTCAGGGCGCTCTGGCGGACCAGTCTCTAGGGAGTCATGCTGCTAACTCAAAGGCAGTGCTCCTCCCATGCTTTGAATCCACCAGTGGCTCCAAGGGAGAAAGATGGACTGTCTCCTCCCGGGTAATTTCCAGCTTCCCAAAACCTGCTGGAGGGTCAAGTCGGTTCCTACTTGCCAGCAGTGAGTTGAGATGATAGTGTTTTCCACTGTCCCCATCAATGCAGCATCATTTACACTCATCTCTGTACATATCTTTATACTTATCTATTTGATGTGTCAATGGTCTATTTAAAGCCCAAACAACTGGGTTGAAGGGTCTCCACTTGGATTTCTACCCGGGTCTGTCCCAGGGGCAGGAGTCCCTTAAGGTGCTCCCCAGCTTCCCCTAGAGACACCCCATGGGATAAGGCTGGCAGAGGGCTGAAGACGAGCCCTTCTGCCTTTTCCCCTGCCCAGGTGTCCACATCCAGTCGTCCCAGATTGTGGAGTCCAGCGGTTTATACACCCTGCATAGCATTCTGAAGGCACAGCTGGTTAAGGAAGACAAAGATTCCCAGTTTTACTGTGAGCTCAGCTACCGGCTGCCCAGTGGGAACCACATGAAGGAATCGAAGGATGTCACCGTCCCTGTTTTCTGTGAGTACTGGCTCATCCCTCTGTGTTCATCAGTGCCTGGCAGAAGCTCCCTCTTGCTCCTCCCAACTCAGCTCATGGCTGAAAGCCACCCTTTACCACACTGCAGACCCAGCAGAAAAAGTGTGGGTCGAAGTGACGCCCATGGGGATGCTGAAGGAAGGGGATCGTGTGGAAATCAGGTGTTTGGCAGATGGCAACCCTCCACCCCACTTCAGTATCAGCAAGCAGGTGCGGGGTCTCACGCTGGGTGCATGCAGGGATCAGGAGGGGTGGCTGGAAGAACACTGTGCTTACCCTCTGTCTTCACCCTCTGTACTCCTCAGAACCACAGCACCATGGAGATGGAGGAAGAGAAGAGTGACCAAGATGGCATCCTAGTCTTGGAGCCGGCCCGGAAGGAGCACAGTGGGCTGTATGAGTGCCAGGGCCTGGACTTTAATAACATGGGATCATTGAGTGACCAACAGGAGCTGCTGGTGAACTGTGAGGGGCTTGGGGGCCGTGGGCAGGGAGGCCATGCTAGAGGCAGAGGCTGGAGCCATGGGAATTTGCCTCGCTGTCCTGCCCCAGCTGACACTAAGGCTGTGCCCCTAGATGTGTCAGATGTCGATGTGAGTCCCGCCACCCCCGAGCTCCAAGAGGGCAGCGACCTCACCTTGACCTGTAAAGCAGAGAGCAACCAGGCCCTCGAGTATCACTGGCTGAGAGAAAAGGTTCCAGATGGGCTTGGGGCTGTGGGGCCGGGGCCAACTGGTAACCAGGGATGGGAGGGACAGGCTTTTGCCCCTTCCAGATCCTCTGACCTGTCTCTCCCTGCAGACAGAGAAGGTGCTGGAAAAGGGGCCTGTGTTACACCTTCGTGACCTGAAACGGGAGGCAGCAGGTGGCTACTTCTGTGTGGCATCTGTGCCCAGTGTCCCTGGCTTGAACCGCACACAGCTGGTCCATGTGGCCGTTTATGGTGAGGCCCCGTGTGATCCTGGGAAGCTGCTCAGGGTGGGACAGGCTCTATGGTGCACCAGCCTCTGTAGTCAGCTGGTCCTGTCCTGAGAGCAGGGCTTGCGTGGTGTTAGCTTGTGACCGGGGTGTTCTGCGGGGTGCCCATCAGAGTTTATTGCCTTTCTCTTCCTCCCCACTAGGGCCCCCATGGATGGCATTCAAGGAGAGGAAGCTGGGGGTGAAGGAGAACGAGGTGATGAACCTGACTTGTGAGGCATCAGGCCATCCTCAGCCCACCATCTCCTGGAACATCAATGGCACTGTGAGTCAGCACATCCCGTCCTGCCCTCAGCTCACCTGGCCCAACCCTGGCTTTTCCCCAGCGGCCAGACCAGAGATGCTGCCCACTCTGAGCAGGGCTTCCTTACAGGTGCACAAACAAGACAAAGATGCCCAGCATGTCCTGAGCACTCTGAATGTCCTTGTGACACCAGAGCTGGTGGAGAAAGGCGTGGAGTGTGTGGCCTCCAACTCCCTGGGCAGAAACACCACCCTCATTTTCCTGGAACTGGGTAAGGGCCTCAGCGCTGCAGCTGGCCAGGGGCATGCCCAGGCGCGGGCATTAACTTGTGCTTATCCTAACCAACCTCCCTCTGCCTCCCAGTCAATTTAACCACCCTCACTCCTGACTCCACCACCACCGCTGGCCTCAGCACCTCCACTCACCTCAGCACCTCCACTGCCAGTCCCCATGCCAGAGCCAACAGTACCTCCACAGGTAAGCCAGGCCTGGCAAGAGGACAGGGCCGGCCAGCTGGGACAGCCTCTTCCTGTCCTGCCTTTCCCCCAGGGAGTCCTGTCAGGGTGAGTGAGTGGCAGTGTGCTCCCTCAAGCTCTCGGCTGGGGGTGGGTGGTGGTGATGAAAGTGCAGCTGCTCTGAGCATCAGGTGACCAGATGTGTCTTTGTGGGACAGAGAAAAAGCTGAAAGAGCCTGAAAGCCAGGGTGTGGTCATCGTAGCCGTGATCGTGAGCATCCTGGTGCTGGCCGTGCTGGGCGCTGTCCTCTACTTCTTCTACAAGAAGGGCAAGCTACCTTGTGGGCGGTCAGGCAAACAAGAGATGTAAGCATGGCGCTTCTTTGGATCCTCATCCCCGCCCATCTCATGCTGCCCAGCTTGCTGCCTGCCCTAGTCCCCACCCCCCACAAGGAAGAATGGGGCTCTGAGTGTGGTACTGCCCACTCCCCAGCTGTCATCGACCATGCCATGTCCCCTCCATGACCTGACCCCCGATCATCAAACGTCCCTTAGTCCAAGTCCAGTGTCGTTCCCAGAGGCCCCTTCCCTTCCCTTGCCCTGAGTTGCCAACCTCTTGCCTCCCTCCCTCCTCCCAGCACACTGCCCCCATCGCGTAAGAGTGAAATTGTAGTTGAAGTTAAGTCAGATAAACTCCCTGAAGAGATGGGCCTCCTACAGGGCAGCGGCGCTGACAAGAGGGCTCCCGGAGACCAGGTAGGAGGCAGTTTGTGTAGTGAGTGCCTGACATCCCCAGGGATTGGGGGCAGCAAGGGCTAATTGTTCTGGTTCCTCCAACACTAACTTTCTCTCTCTCTTCCTTGTTGGAGATAGAGGTCACTTTCCCCTTATTCACAGATGGGGTGGGAAAGTTGTCTGAGGGACCCGGGAGAGGGAGTGGCTCTCAGGGCTGAGCAAAGACCCTGTCCCATAACTGTTCCCTTTGCCAGACTCAAATCACTAGGCTTGATGTGTGGCCTGAGTTTGCTGGTTGAGAGTCTGATCTGGGCGCTTGCCTCTGTTGCCCTGCTCACTCCTAGCTTCTTTCAAGTGTGCTATACTAAATTCATCAGCTTTTGCTTCAGTCTTCCCTTTCAAAGCTCACACCTTCATCTGTGGTCACTATCTCCAGGTTCTCATCTTCTATCTTCTCTCCACCCATTTTCAGGGAGAGAAATACATCGATCTGAGGCATTAGCCCGCTTAATCACACTGAGCTCCCCACCCTGCCTGGAAAAGCCCCTGCTCACCTGGCTCCTCACACTCAGGACGGCAGCCATGACTTCTCAAATGGACTGCAGAGAAGACCCCCTGCTCCCGCTCGCTCACCTGCAGACCTCATCTTAGAGGTCCAATGGGCTGGACCAGAGCCATCCTTAGAAGGTGCTCACTGGGCCTAAACCCTGAAGACCCCCTTTCTGGGATCAATCCACCAGAGTCTCAATTTGAGTGACATTCATCTCAAGGAGGGGGACTCAGAATCCAAGAGTGGGCCAGCAGTGTCTTGCAGAATGTTTTCTTGTTACACGTTACAGACCTAAATACCGGTCCTTCTACCAACAGTTGATTTAGGTAGTTATCTGTCTGAGCTGGTTTCCTACCCCAAAGCCTGGCTTTAGAAATTCAGAATCACTGAAGAGGCTGCACTTGATCTCAAGACCCTGAGCTCTGGTCCTCTTCACTGTTGAACTGTATTGTTCACAGGACTCAATGAGGGTTCCTCAGCATTGTCTAGAAGCAGGTGAAATGTTGCTGCTGCTGACTTTGTGCCTGCTTCCCTGGCGTCCCTTTTGTCATCCTCCTTTCCTTGGGCCAGAGCCATGAACCGGTGTCATTCCTGAAAGACATACTGGGTACGTCCCATTGCTCCTGCAGTGGTTACATTTCCCAGAGTGAAGGCACTGGAGCCTAATCCCCTGCATTCACCTGGTTCCCACTACCCTCTTAAGGGTTAAGCCTGTGAAAGGTGGGAGTGAGGGCCAGAGATGAGGTCTAGAGTATGCTTTATGGAGATGAAAGCTAGTAATATTAGCACCAAATGTCTACAATTTGAGCTAATGGACCTAGACCCAAGAAGAGGGCCCAGATTGGAGACTGCTTCTTAGGGATAAGTGACCAGGGCCTGGCCAGAGCTTTTGAGTATGTGTGTGTCTATGTTTGTATGTGTGTGTGTGTGTGTGTATATATATATATATATATATATATGGTTTTGTCAGGTGTAAATTTGCCAATTGTTTCTTTTTTTATATATATATATATATGTATGAAAAATAAAGCTTAATTATTCCAGAAGCTTTAAATTGCTTTTCCCTATTTTTTTGTGCTAAAAATGAAACACTGCCAATTCAAAACCCTTTTCAGGTACAGTTCTGTGACACTGATTACTTTCATCACATGCACCACTGTTCTAAGTTAGTCCACCATTAACAGAAGCTCCCTTCCTGGTCACCACTAAGAATCTTGTCTTTTCTTGCCTGTTTCATATAAATGAGACCACATAATATTTATCTTTGTGGTGGGCCCGTTTCACTCATGTTTTCAAGTTTCACTGATGTAGGAAGTGCCAGGATTTCAAGTCTCTAAGGCTGAGTAATCACAGTTCATTGTATGTTTTATATTTCATTGTATGTATATATTTTGTTTATCCATTTATTTGCTGGTGGACAGTTAAGCTGTTTCTACATTTTTGCTCTTATCAATAGTAGTTACTAGTATAAAGATTTTTGTTTTTAGTTCTTGGGGTTTGTTGTTGTTATGTGCCACTGAGTTAGTTGCTTGTGACTCTTGGTGACCTTATGTACAATAGCTCTGAACTCTGCTCTAATCTTGAGCCAAATCTCATTGTCTCTGACACACCTACCTACCCGTCACCCTAGTCATTGAGTCAATCTATCTCAACCAGGTCTTCTTTTCTTGCACTGTCCCTCCACCCTCCCAAGTATGATGTTCCTTTCTAAGGACTGGTCCCTTGCAACACACCCAAAGTATGTCAGATGGAGCTTCAGAATTCTTGCCTCCAAAGAGAAGACTGGGTCACCCTCTCTTCAGGACAGACCTGTTTGTCCTAGCAGTCCATGGTATATTCAATACTCTTCTCCAGCACCACAGCTCAAAGGAATGATTCTTATATCATCCTTAGTCACTGTCCAGCTTTCCAATGCATAGCAAGTAACTGCAGAGGCTATGGCCTGGATGAGGTGCACTTTAGTCTCTACACTGACATCATTACTCTTCAGTACTCTGGAGAGATCCCTGACAGCAGATTTTCCCAATGCATCTATTGATTTCCTGGCCGCGGGTACCATGAGTGTTGATATATACCTAGAATTAGGATTGGTCACTCTGCTTTTTATTCCTGAGTAACACAGGAACAAGGGCTCCAGGACTGAATTGTAATTAGTAGCAAGGATCTGTGGTGACTTCTACTTTCATAGTTCCAATTTATGGCAGGGTGGCTTGCAGGGCCTGGGCAACTCTTGGTTAGAACAGCGCCTTGACTATGCTTTGCTAACAGGTATAACCGCCCTCAAAGCAACAGCTCACACTGAGATGCAGCAATAGCATCTGGTGCTCCTGTTGCTTAGTGTGTGTGAATCCCCCACCCCTCCATAGTAAGTGCAAACAGTGAGTCTGCTACAACAAAAGAAACTTTATTTAAAAATATTTCTTTTCTTTCTTTTTTTTTAACAGACATGGGTTCTTGAAAAAGCTCTTTAGTTAACTGTATGGAAATGAAAAATTAATAAATAACATTAGTTCAACAGACCTCTAAACATTAATACATTGGCAAAACAAAATGGACTTAAATGAAAATGAATCTTAAAGCTCTGCTATTCTCTGTAAGAATATTTACCTTCTGTTTTTTCTTATTCTTTACAGGTGAGAATGATTAAATACTGCTAATATATTTTTTTTATATTAATGACACACTTAAAATAGTCCACAAAAAGCTCATCTAAGTTTTTGTTTTAACACTGATATACAAACTGGGACTCCTAACCCTGGAGAAAGCACTGCATTCTCCCCAGCCCCACCCAAGCCAAGAATTCCAAAATCCTGAATAAGGAAGACGCTAAAAAGAATAGTTTAAAAAAAAAAAAAGAAAAAGAGAATTGTTTCTATCTCCCAATTCTCCATGATAAGTAAAATGCCATGCCAGAGAAAGCAGTTTCCCTTCCTGAAACATTTAACTGTGGCCACAATACTGAGGACAGGCATCTATCTGGTCGTGCTCCTGGTTGCCTGATCCCAGGGAACCAGACCCTGCAGAGGGCACTAGCTGCTTAATGCTTTCGGCTGAAAATCTTCACAGGAAAGAAAGTCAAGTCTGGAGGGAGAGGCAGAAAGCCTAGGTTGTTCACAACTCAGTAAAAAGATCCACATAATAATAACCCTTCCCTTAAGAGAGTTCATCATATTGTTTTCCAAGATGTTTGGGTCACTAATATGATCAGGAGGCTGGGAAACTAGGAATAGTACAGAGCACACCTAGAAATCATGGAACAGTCTGTCTCTAGCAGAGGTAAAATTCATTCTCATTTGGACCGATCAAATGATCCCAGGGTAAAAAGCTGCTTTCTTCTAACTGACCATCAAGGAAGGGAGAGGGGACCACTGACAAACCCCAGTCACAGCAAGTACTCCTTCCTCGCCCCTGGATTCTAGGGACTAATGATCCTCAAGGTAGAGGAGCAAAGACTCTGGTATTTCCATATTAAGTCCTAAAATGCAGCCTGGGATACAGTGCTGCCTTAGAAAGGCACAAAACGTTTGGCTTCCCTCCGCCCCTCATCTTCTTCAGTGTGCTAAAAATTGTTTTGTTTTGAATAAAGGGAAAAGATATATAAGGTTAAAAATTCCAAGTCACCACAGTCAGAAAGCTGCTGGAGGAGGTTCCTCATAGCTGCCATGCCCTACTACACGCCTCAGCAGGACAGGAGGCCGGGCTTCTCCTTCAAGGCCAAGACACTACACCAGTGGGGAGAAGGGGAGGTAGGAGGCATCGAGCCTGCAGGCTTAGTCACTCAGAAAAAAGGCGCAGAAGGGAAAACAGACCCATTCTCTGCCTCTTCAATTCCAGGACAACTATAAACATGCCTACCCTCACCCCTAACAGGTGAGAAGTGACACAGGAAGAATGAGAATATGTATTTGGGAATATCAGACTTGGACACACAATAGCCCCGCTCAAACCTGAGCATGGAGTCAGTGCATGGTCTGAAGAATTGCTCAGAGTCCGTCTTGAGCAATATTCCTCTCTGGCTTCCCAATCTGGGTGGTGGGGGAGGGGGGAGAAGAACTTGTGAGAAGCAATGTAGAGGTCTGTTGACTTGTACAGCTGCCAAATCAGTAGGAGATCTGAGGCTGGCTTTCAGTGTTTGCTCTGTACAAATACTGGGAGTGGTCAGCCACATTTTTTCTCAAGTACATACAATGGGTGAGGCAGCAAGACCTCCAAACAGCTGTTAATCAACGGCTGGCCCTTTAGCATGGTGCCTTCATCTACTAATGAGCCTCTCCTTGAAGGGCTTGCCAGCCACCCCCCCCCACCCCCAATTTCCCCATCTCTTAACTCTTGTGCTACTTTCATTGAACTTCCCCTTGACATGAACCCAGATTTCCCAAGACAGTGTGAAGGCAGAGGGCACTGCTGTTCCTTAGCTCCTTCATTTTGGAGGCTGAGCTAGAATATCAAATGCAAAGTCTGAAGATTCACCCTTTCTCATGTGTATTGATGTGTATCTTTGGATTATTAGGGTACTTTAATGTATATCAAATGATTCTAGTAGTTAAAAAGTTGTAACTAATTAGATCCCTTACTAACTCAGGGCAGGTGCTAGGATGAAATAAAAAAGATCAAAAGATGCAGGTAAACAAAGGCATGGTTAAAAAAAATCCAAACATAGGCCTAAAGACAATCGTACAGGAAATAAACAGGTATTCTGTCTAAAGAGTTCTCAGTAAAAAGTCTATGTTAAATGGAATCTATAATTTATATCCTGTCAACTGTCCTAATTTATCTTCTTACTGGCAGTTTCTGAGGCCCTGAGGCCCACCGAAGAATATTCCTGAAGAGCTCACCTCATACATGGAGGAACAATGAACTGTCAAGGAGGTGGGAAGGGAGTGTCTAAAGGTGCCCAGAGAATAAATACATTTTCAGTGCTAAGGCTTGCAGAGCCCAGAAGTCCATGAGTA